CATTAGACCAGTGGAAATCTGTGCTTCGGTCCAAATTTTAGATCTTTGGTTCCACTTGCCGTGTCTTTGTGTGATGCAGAAACGGATGATCTCTGCATGCATGGTTCCAACTGTGAAGCAAGGAAGAAGTTTGATGGTATGGGGATGTTTTGCTGGTGAAACTGTCGGGAATTTATTCAGAATTGAAGTCACACTGAACCAACATGGCTACCACAGCATCCTGCAGCGACACGGCATCCCATCTGGTTTGTGTTTAGTTGGATCATTTGTTTTTTTTAACAGGACAATGACCCCAAACACACCTCCAGGCTGTGTAAGGGCTATTTGACCAAGAAGGACAGTGATAGAGTGCTGCGTCAGATGGCCTGGCCTCCAGAGTCACCCGAACTACACCCAATTGAGATGGTTTGGAATGAGGTGGACCACAGAGTGAAGGTAAAAAAGCCAACAAGTGCTCAGTGTCAAAGCAAAGGGTGGCTATTTTGAAGAATCTTAAGTTCATTCATAGTTTTGATGCCTACATTGAAAATCTGCAATGAAAATAGTCGTGAAAATAAAGAAAAGCCATTAAATGAGAAGATGTCCAAACTTTTTACTGGTAGTGTATTTGATAGGGACATTCTGTGGCCATCTGGTAACAAAAAATAAAATAAAATATAAAGCCTATTGAAAGAATACACCAAATCTTTAATAAATGAATCAATTGATATAAAGGTGGGCTATGGTTACTCTACTGTAGAACAGGTTTGAACTAGAGATACCACTTTTTGTCCGATACTGATATCATAAATTTGGATATGCCGATACCAATGTGAATCCAATAGTCTATTTTACAGTCAATAAAACTGTTTTCTTTTATATCTTGCTGCCGTTCGTATAAGTTCATACTCAAATTTGAAAAGACAAAACACTAAAGCTATTCTATTACAAAAAGATATGCTGCATCCAAAATATTTCGCAATTCAGCAAAACTAACTTTTTATTTAACCATTTAGCAGAGCTTTAAATCTTATTTAAAGTAATATTTAAAAAATGTAAAATGCAGTTTCACGCAGATTTCAAAAACTTTGGTTCTGAAAAAAGCGCAATCTGCACAAAATAAAATTGAATCAATCAATCAATCTTTAAAAAGAAAAAAAAATAGTTGTAGAATGGACCCTTTTTCCTTCAAGTTTAACATAAATAGACATCCAGAGTGGAAAGCAGTGCAAATAAATCAGACATGGCTTCATGACACTCATCTTTTATCAAGATTGAGGTCAGTGTAAGCTGTTTCTGTGATGTTTAACCTGAGACTGAATTTTGTGTAATTTCTATACAAAACTTAAGACAAGTATGAAAATAAGTGGTTTTCATAGTTTTTTTCTTGAAACCACAGAACTGTTTAACCTGCAACACAGTTTTTTTTCCAAAGTAAAACTTGAGTCCATCCATTGTACAGTCATACTTAGCGATGTTAAGATTAACATCGAATGCTTTACATTCAGAGATTAACTTACACTTGATTTACTTCTCTGGGATAGCTTGCTCAGAGATGAAATGCTGGTTTGGTAGCACGTAACGAGGCTCTAGATGCTTTCAGTGTAAAGTACCACTGACAGGTCTCGCACGCAACAGCCGCTCTATCACGTGACGCATACTGCTGCAATATGCTAAGGGAAATACCTGGATTACGCCATGTCACAAGTTTTGTAAGGTGCCTTTGATATTTAATCCGGTGTCCTTTTTTATGTCCTAGGTCAGGATTGGACCGATACTATATATTGGATCGATCCTGTCCCTAGTTTGAACAGCAGGTCATTGGGTCTTTTCTGCTCACAGTAAGGGCTGTATGGTACAGATGACCATATTAAATATATCCTCTCTTGTTGACATCATGTAGCTCTGAGAGGAGAGTGTGAAATGGAACGCTTACAGCAGTGTGGAGACCATTTGATGCACAGGGATTATTTGTACATACAACATTTAATCACAACAATAGTCACGTCAATGTACTTTATATTGTAAGGTAAAGACCCTAACTACAATAATACAGAGAAAACACCAACAATCAGACAATCCCCTATGAGCAAGCACTTGGCGACAATGGGACAGAACACCTCTGTTTCAACAGGATGAAACCTCCAGCAGAACCAAGTTCAGGGCGGGGCAGCCACCTGCCATAATCAACCGGTGATGAGAGAGAGACAACGTAAAATATATACCTGATCCAACCCTAACTATTATTAAAAAGTGAAGTTTTAAAACTAATGCTAAAATCAAAGATTGTGTCCGTCTCCCATGTCAAAACTAGCAGCTGGTTCTAAAGAAGAGGGGTCAGAAAGCTGAAGGCTTTGCCTCCCTTTTATATAGCCTAGGAAACACAAGTAACCCTGCAGTCTGTGAGTGAAGTACTCTATTGGGGTGTGTGACAAAGTGGGTGAGAATACCATTTGTCCATATTTGAAGCTTGTTATTCTTAGTTGGCATTCTTGGTTTGATTTAGCCATACATTATTTTTTTTTATTCTGTTGTGGGCAAACATTTACTATACCGGGTTTGTTTTTGTTTTGCACTTTCACCATTCCTCCATTCCTTCAAATCGCGGTTAAAAAAAACAAAAACAAAAAACAAAAACACTTATTTAGCCTTGCCTTTTCTACCAGTTGCTTGTTAGTTAGCTTAATGCTTATTCTTATCTTCGGCTTATTCTTAATTACTTTTAATCATTTTCAATTTTTTGACTGTTTTATCCTTCACACTTAGTTTTCTTTTATGCTTTTATATGAAATTCTTTTGCTTTTGTGTTTTAATGACATTCAACCTGCTAGCATGTTTTGGTACCTTGCCATAGCCCTCATCCTTCCCTGTTACTTCATCCTACTCTCTTGCATGTTAAGCATTTTGGTACAACACTGGTTTTTAAATGTACTATATAAATAAAGTTTGTTGTTGTTGTTTCACAGATTATGTAACGTAACATCTTTGTTTAAATCAACTCTGACATGTTTGTTAACGTATTATTTATTCCAGCTTGTCTAGTTTGTCGAACTCACCTTACTTATCTATGTACCAGGAGCAGAAGGAGGAAGTGCTGCTTCGCTTCCTGTATTTATAGCTTCCTGTTTAGTCTGAAGTCACAGGAAGGGACCAGGTGAAGAAGGGGGAGAATTGGTGTAATTTAATAAAGTCAAGTTTATGTTGTTTGTTGACAAATGGATGCATTGATGTAATATGTATTGGTTACACCTTAGAGTGTTTTTATTGCTAGTAAAGAGTAGTATCATAAGTTTATGAGTATGGTAATGTTTGTCTTACCTACTGAATGGAATAGTCCAGAGGAGAAATTGTTTGGATAGCTGACTATTTAAACAGAAGAACTCAAGTGTTCAAGAGGAAAGGACCAGGTCAATGTAGCTGAGTGCACGTGACCTTAATTTTTGTTGGTTTAAGTTCAGTTATGTTTATTTGTACTGAGTTAACTTTGGAGTTGAGTTGGGGGGTTTTGGGGGGGGGGTTAAAAAATAAATAAAAATAAAAATAGAAATTGTCACCAAGATGGTGAATAAATCACTTGCTGCACTGGACAGCATTTGTCTCCTGCCCTTCTTCAGCCACTTTGGTCAAGCTACCTCACAGGGTGACACGGTACTATTAGATCTTTAAGATAAGATGCAGCCTGGTTATTTGATACCCATATTTGAAGAGAATGGTTTTGATTTCTATTCTGGATTTAACAGGGAGCCAGTAAAAAGAAGCCAATGTTGTTGGGGGGGGGAATGGTCATATTATGTTTAAAATGATCATCCAACATTGTAACTGTATATGGGTGATGATAAATATTGAACAGCATAGTAGAATTTCTGTAGGTGACAAGAAACTGTATATTCCTATCTGTTTTTACAGCCGGTGTATGACACAGCCAACACAGTGAAACAAGCCATGGGGTAGAATGAAAAAGGTAGGAGGAGGAAAGAAAGACTTTTTTTTCTTTTTTTAAATAGAGGAAAGGGGACAGACTCAGGGGTGGGAAAGAAGGTTGGACACATGCTGGGAGTGTTATGGCATCAGAGAAACAGATCCAAGCAGTCACATGGATGCCACGTCATCAACGCCCGAGATGAGGAGGAAATTTCATGGTGAGGCAACATGATTTGCTTTGGCCTTTTTGTATCATACGGAATAGGAGAAACTTAAGCATGAGAATACAGTAATTCCACATTTCTTTTTTCTGTGTAATCATCGTAAATAGGAGGAACTTAAGAATGACAATACAGTAAATTCCACGTTTCATTTTCTAGTTTAATCATCTTTTACTAGACCAGACAGTCAGGAACAAAAAGTTGCTGACAAAATAACAGAATTTTATCTTACAATAACCCCAAAGCCCAGCTCAGCATGGCCTACTCACTGTTCATAGCTCCCATAGACGAACTTTCATTTTAATCTCACCTACACAGCACTGCCCAAATGTTGCTCAAAACAGCACAGTGATTATTTCCTCCTTCAGTTTGTCTTTGGGATCATGTTTTGCCATGATCACGGGCACAGACACACGCACTTCAATTTTGAAACTGGTGATGGCAGGTTTATGCTGCCTCCTTTTCCTCACAATATGTTGAGGGGCCCTAGACGAAGCGAATGACTCATCCAGCCTAGATGGTCTGTATGAATCCAGCGCCGTCTAGTGGCCGTAGAGGCCGCTGAAGCATGAAGTGAATCAAATGTTTTGCCTACTTTCTGAACTAACCGTACGAAGTCTACATGCCCAATAAAGTACAAAAATAAATAAATAAATAAACAAAACAAACCCCAAAAGATAGAGAACTGTCATGTGTTATCAACATTCAACCTCTCAATATATCTTCCTCTCGCGCTTCCCATGTCTTTGTGGATCTTTGAAGCCCAGAGTTGACGGGAGGTAATCCCCACCATGTGAGTGGGCGGTGCGGGTACCGGAGGCGTGTCCCCCCTCCTCATTATTCAAACGCTGCTGTACCTATAAAAAGAGTGCCTGCGTGCGTCAGATAGTTTTCTCCAATGGGTAAAGGTGACTAAATACCAGTTGTCTCGTTTGCCGGCACAGTCTCATCCTATCAGCTGGGGGAGAGATGATGGACGACTCCGGCGGTGTCCAAATGGCGAAGGCGCTGAAGCATGCAGCCCTCTGCCTGATGCTGCTGCCCCGGTTCCTTCTGGCCGCAGTTATGCTGTGGCTCCTGGATTTCTTGTGCATTAGGAAACAAGTGCTGCTGAAAATGGGAGAGAGGCAGGAGAGCCCTGACGACCCGCCGGTGTGCGTCTCTGACTCTAACAAGATGTTCACCTTGGAGTCCCTGAGGGCCGTGTGGCATGGTCAGAAATTGGACTTTCTCAAATCTGCGCACCTTGGGCGCCCTGCGCCCAACACCGAGGTGGTGCTCGTCCAGGAGCGGAAGCAGGTGCGAATCCTGGACTGCGTGAAAGGGAAGAGACCGCTCATTCTTAACTTTGGCAGCTGCTCCTGACCGCCATTCATGACGCGTCTGACGGCGTTTCAGCGCGTCGTGAGTCAGTACGCAGACATTGCGGACTTTTTAGTTGTATATATCGAGGAGGCGCATCCCTCGGACGGCTGGGTGAGCTCGGACGCGCCGTATCAGATCCCCAAGCATCGCTGTTTGGAGGACAGACTGAGAGCCGCTCAGCTGATGCTCACTGAGGTGCCGGAGACCAACGTGGTGGTGGATAATATGGACAACTCATGTAACGCCGCGTATGGAGCCTACTTTGAGAGACTTTACATCGTGAGCGATGAAAAAGTGGTGTACCAGGGGGGCAGGGGTCCAGAGGGATACCGGATTTCCGAGCTTAGAAACTGGCTGGAACAATACAGGAACGATCTGCTGAATTCCCAAACAGCGATACTCCATGTGTAGATGCTGAACTGCCCGCTGCTCTGCCCACTCTGCTTAAGTATCCAACCCACAGTGCAAAATATCCAGATGCTGCTATCAGATGTTCACCCATGGCACATTGTTGTTTTTCTTGCAAAAAACATGAAGAATTTTTTTCAGGACTCTTTGTCAAAATAGCCTAAAGTCATGTTGAAGCATAGACCGTAGGCTGTAATTTTGTGCTTGTCTCGACTTTCATTGATTGCGCATAGCGATTCTCTTTATTTCTTCTTTTTGTATGAAAAAGTCTCAATTGGATTCAATTGGTAATCACTCTATTTTTCTACAATACCTGTGTGTGTGCGTGGGTGTGTGTGCGCGCGTGCGTGCTAATATCGCCTTCTGGTGTCTCTGTGAAGTTCGGTTTTTAAAAGGCTCATCCAGAAAACCGACACTGATGTTTCCGACACTGGTAGCGGGTCCATATTAGCGGGACGCCTCACTCGGTGACCGACTGCCTAACGGTGTAACGTTGAAGCAATTGTAACTGAACAAATGTTTTTAATAAATGTCAGATTACACACTGATGACGCACTTTTGAGTGTTGAAAACGCCTTAAAGCTCTTCCTTTGGTCATCCTGGTGCATCCATTTTTATTTTACTGCTTCTGTTTACTTCTAAAAAGAGAGACAGAGAGAAAGGAAAGAAAGGAAAAAGTAAGTCGTCACATTTTCTTGCTGTGTAGTCTTAAAGAACAGATTTAGAACTCAGCTTCATATGATTGCTTATCTCTCTGTTATGACGTTGTTTATTCTCTTTTAATTTGGTACATAATCTGTCCTTGTGGCTAATCTGTAAACCATTCACCAGTTCAAGAAAGGAACTTTTTGTGTGTCAGTGAGAGGGAAAAGGAGGAAACAAAAGGCTACTCAGTTTTATTTAGACAGTTCAAAAGAAGAGGCCTGTTTCATGTTGTGTAAGACGGTTAATGAGAAATGACAGTGAAGAGAAGCTGATATGATGATCAAGCAATGAGGAAAAGATAAAAAAAAAAAAAAAAAGCAAACAAAAAACCCCAAACAAATCTGAATTTAACAGAATTTGTCTAATATTACACATTAATGGAAGTCATGAACATAAATTATTCTCTTTGTTGAATTCATGTAATCTGCATTTTGGCAGAAAAATCGCTCATCAGAGATTGTCTTGACTTCACCAGATCAACTAATGCACAGAAAAGCAAACTTTATACTCTCAATATGGAAGCTGCATATTAAAAAAAATTTTAAAAAAATGGAATATTAGTTATTCTAAAGAAACTGAGATAGCTAAGCTGCATCTTTAGTTCTTAATAAGTCTCCCCCATATACATTTACACACTGCCACATAATCAGGATTAGGGAGTGCTGTGTAATACTGTAGGTCAGTTGTGGCTAATGTTACTTCTCTGTAGTTTTAATGTATTCAGGTTGATTCTCATGTATGTGCTATACAATGTTGTATGTCCTTAGGCATTAATGTAGTGTACAGCAGCAGGGGAACTGATGTGTCCTTGCTTTCGCTTCAGTGCTAAATGTGGGGAACAAAGTCAGTGTTCGTTTAAACTTCCCCTTTCTGATTCATTCCAGGTCTTTCAGGAAAAACAGAGGGGAAAAAAAAGGTCAGTCAATTAGAAATGTCTGACCACAGAGCTTTTTAAAAACGTCACCGGTCACCTGAGAGAGATTCACGAGTCAAAACTACCAAACGGGCCGTCACTGTCGAGCACTGCCTCTAGCATTCAATTTGTTTGTTTTTTAAAATGACATTTTCATTAGTGTCCCAGTCCCCTTTTTTTTCTTTTGGGTTCTGAATATAATGCAAACAACATGATCAGACAAGACTTAAAAAAAAACAAAAAACCACTGATCTCTTGTTGAATTACTTGCTTGGCTACCGTGTGCCATACAGATATTAGTTTCATCTTATCTGGCAAACTGACTAATGAATAGAGAGGCAAGCAGACTGCTTAAGGGCCCATCAGACCGAGGGTTCAAACACCGATGACACATCTTTCAGTTTTATCAGATCACACCACTGTTTGCGTCAGACGACGCGGTCTTCCAGGGAATCTTATTTCTATGGAACCAAGTGATGCTCAGTGACAGTCAGAGGATGATCTCGGTTTAAGTGGTCTCTCGAAACATACAGAGATCCGTGTGCATAACACTGAGGTATTAAGTGCATAATGGATGCAGACCATTTCAATCCCTGTTAGTATAACAGGCTTACAGAGTCTGTGTGTGACCAACATGGTCTAAGCTGATTCCCCTCCTTGCTGATAGGAGGCTTTTTTTTTTTTTTAGCTCATTTTTAATCACAGTGGTGAAAAATGAAACTGGTTCATAGTTGTGCTAAATATTCAATGACTAGAAGACAACAGAATGTGTGTTTAGCAGGAAGCTTGAGAAATAGTTATTCTCCTTGTAAGCAGTAGTGCACTGACTGTATTTTAACAGTAATACGTGAGTCACACAGTGTGACTGACATGTGTTTGCTTCCTTCAGACTGTGGTTTGTGGCGCTTTGCCTTTCAGAAAGCTCATCCTGCTTTTGGAAAAAATGAACCACGAATAATTCATTTTCACCATAAGTATTCATTCATAATTTCCTCGTTTACTTTCCCTTTCTTTGACTGCCCATTTCCTTCTTTAATTAATCTGATATTTTAAACAACTATAAATTACAAAACTGGGAATGTAAAGGTGATGTAGCAAAGACTGTAAATGTTTATATTCCTATAGGCCAAAAACCTTTACCAGTATGAAAGTTCTTAAATGTTGACATTTTACTCGAGATAGCGTGAAGGTTTGAATTACAGTACGTGTCGGCAACAATTGTCTAAAACTCTGTGCAAAGTCTTGGGTTTTGCTGTTGAGTCAAATTCAGGGAAACAAATCTAAACAGATCAGTTGAAGTTGGCAAAAACAAAAATGGCGACGGTTAGGTTAGCATAAGTACATGTACATGATCTATAGAAGTAGTTGCCTTCTCTTTCCTTTTCTTTTGTTAGATGTGGCTAATTGTGTGGCTTCATTTCTGCGTCTATCTCCCAGACGAACGGGCACCAAGTCAAGGTTGCGAGAATATCCTTGTTTAGACATTTGCGATTATTATTAAATGTGATTTTGTTTCAAGTTGTCAATTTCTTTTCCGTCTTGGCCAGCGCACAAAAGGTTTTTGATCTCGGCATTACGTATCCTGGTTAAATAAAGCTATTAACAATAACAATCAAATAACACACAAAACAGTCTAAACTCATAATCCATCCTGTATAATGTTGGGAAATTCCAAGGAGGGGCAATGTGGAACTATCAATTATAACAAAAAGCCAGAGATAAGATCTTCTGGTCACGTAGGTGTTCATTTGTTAAGCTCTGAGACTGCAGTGATTAGTACTTTTCTGTAAGTCCTGCAGCTAAACAAATATGTCCTTTGTTTCTTCTTGACATTTAAAATAAAATAAGGCATTTCAACTTAAAAGGAAGTGACAGTGAAGTCTGCAGAGGGAGGTACACACCCATCTTTTAGGCAGGACAAAGTTCAGGTCCGACCACTTTTAAGTTTTGTTGTCAGCAGATTGCCAGTTTAGTTAGCAAGGTGGATCAATAGACTGTATGAGTACATTTCACAGAGACAGATATTTGTTTCCTGCTACTGTTATTAATTTCATTGACTTGTAAATGACATGTTCAGTTGATCACAGAGAAAGGAATATTATTTGTCTGACAGCTGCATTTAAAAGTTCCCGGAGCCACCAAGACCACAAAGACAGGTGACTCATATTTGTTGAGGTTACATCATTTAGCCAACTGCCTATGTTGAGATCCACCTATCACTCAAAGTGTCAATAATATTCAAAAACATTAATTAGACAATAAATAAATTTTATCCCCAATCATGTTGTGAAAGAGGTCATGAGTAATAAGAGGTGGTATCAGTGTTTAGTTCTACCAGTTTAAAGGTAATGACACCGATGTGGATTTCACCATGTTGCACAGCTTTAAATATATACATTATAATTTGCCCAAACAAATTGTGTTTTTTTTTTATAGCAAGAAGGTTCACTGGTATAATTTCATATGCTAGTGAACCAGAACATTAAAGCCCCCCTCTGAAGTGAATGCCATTAATAATCTGTGCAGGCATCACCCATCCCAGTGTTGATGCAGACTAGTATAGTGCTGTGCAAAAATTTTAAGACAACAGTCATTTTGCATCATTGCAGAATTATTATACCATCTAAGGCCAAAAAAATGCAGTTTGCAAAATTTAAAAAAAAAGCTTGAAAGTTAACATTTGGTATGACCGCCTTTATTCTTTAACACAACCTGAAGTCTATTAGCCAAGCTTTCTTGTAATTTCTTTACAAAGTCTTCAGGCTTCTTCAAGGACATCAAAAGCTCTTCTTTGAATGTGGGTTGTGTTTAGTTTTCGTTTTCTGTCAAGATGATCCCACATTGCCTTGATAATGTTTTACAGATGGTTGTCATGGTTGTACTTTCTCCCGTCCTCCTCTCTACATATGGAGGACAATTTGAACCAAAAATGTCAAATTTGGATTCATCGTCCTGTGTCAGGTCTTTGCTGGGGGTTTTTTCTTATTTCTTCAAATGACTTTCTGACACTGTTCATGTGTTTTAGATAAAGTTGTGTTTAGAAGTTTACATATAATCATCATGGGTATGAAGGGCTTTTAATGATTCCTCTGTGCTGTTATTTTTTCCAGGGTGGAATGATTGTACAGCTTTATTGACTTTAGAAAACACAAGAACTTGGATTTTGTTTAATCCACACAGGGTCAAAAGTATAAAATACATGGGTAATGTTCTTTGGCTAATCGCACCTTGATTAGATCCTTTTTTTTCAGCCATCAACAAGCTTCTCGCATGATTTTGACCTGATATATGACCACTCTTCTTGACAGAACTGGTAGAGCTCATTTAACATAGTTGATTTGTTGGAACAGAACAAGCTTTTAAGCGTAGTCCACAAATTTTCAGTAGGGTGTCAGTTGGGGCTTTGGAAAGTTTATTCCAGAAGCTTAATGGGTCCTTTCCAAACAGCTGCAGATTCATCAATTTAAACAACTGTATTTTACTACATGTTATTCTGATGCATCCCTACTTTCCAAGGGTCTGAAAGATTACCCAAACTGTCATCCTTAGATGATTTGGTTAGGATGTTCATGAGCAACCCAAGGAACTAAAAGGGGTTCATCCAAGAAAGACGCCTCTGCTCCAAAATGTTGAAGCTCAACTGAAATTTGCAGTTGCAAAAGACCTTTTTAGAGAAACCAAATGCCTTCGGGAGACAGGTTTTATGGTCAGATGAGAAAAAGATTAAGCTATCTGTCCACAATGACAAAAGATATGTTTGGAGGCGCAAAGGTGAAGCTTTCAAACCTAAGAACACAGTACCACTGTCACGCATGGCGGTGGTATCATCATGCTCTGAAACTTTTTTTGTTCCCAGTGGTAGAGGTACGATGTAGAGAGTAAACTGACAAATGAATAAGGAGGACTACCTCTAAATACATCGACTACCCACATGTCAACTGCTGTATATTATGGCTGGAACAACCAATTAAAATTCCATATAAATTGTTTGATGATTATAACCTGCAGGGTATTTCCTGTTGCCACCAGGTGGTGCTATAAGTGTGACATAATATTGGCACATAGATGCCTATGAACTCAAAAATGCTGGCAAAATTATACATTAAATTCAAAATGGCTCACTACCATTGGAGTTTAGTCCATGGCTTCAAGAGTCTTTGTGCATCTTGATCGTCTCTTCCAAATTTTATGATTTTTTTTTAGGCTTTTCAAGACCTCAACAATTACCTTCTGTTTCAAGACGAATCACCATGGCACCAGGGTTTGTTGTTAAATGAAATCTCCCAATTTTCACACTGTAGCATCATCAAAGTCTGATATTTATTCATGTGGTCAATCTAGGAGGAGTAGAATATGAAATTAAAACATTACATTTCCTGTTTTCACTAGGTGGAACTCTAACTATTGTTGACAAGTATCATATCAGTCTATTCAGGGCTGGACTCTCATCTTGCCAGTGAACTTTGGGAGAGACTGGACCACGTGTCTTTGAGTTATAGCAATTTCATGCTTCATGGTGAAACATTAAAATTCGCAGTGCCGCCAGGGTGACGCCCTTTGGCAAAAAATTCACAGAACCTGAGACCAACTTCTTGAGTTATTTTGGGTGGCTCAGGTCAGTCACCTTGAAGCTGTATCTCAAAGTATAAAACATGCCATTTCCTGTTCCCACTAGGTGGTGCTGTAACCATTGTTAAATATTACAATTGAAATATATTCAAGGGTATACCCTTATCAAACTTTGGATTATGCCTTTGTGAATGACAGCAAATGAAAATATCACGGCGAATGATCAAAATTTGCCGTGGCACCACAGACATGCCCTTAGCCAGACATGCCAAAAACTCAAACCCTTAGCGGAATGCCCAGGTCTGCAGTTAAGACTGACCAAATATGAAGTTAGCAACTAACTGGTAAACTTGCCAGTTGATAGAAATTATGTTTAAGGTGAGCTGTAATGTTTTGCTATAGTGGATCAGCATCGGTTGGTTGCATCCATTAGTTAAGAACTTTAACTAAGTTTAAAAGTTGATTTAGTACTTTTTTATGCTTGTCACATTTTATAAGCAGTATTTCATCAAAAAATAAATAAATTATTAAGCTTTATATCATCGTATTCATTTTATCCCTTCCAGCAGAGGCAAAAGCGTTTTTTAAAAAGATTTTATAATAGATATCCATGTAATCCGTGAGCATTTTGTTAAGTTAATGTTCCAGTGAGTTCCAGAAACCACAGGAACCCATCTTTTGGCATAGGGCCACCTCTTCTGCATGAAGCACTGACTTGGCATTAAAAGAACAGAAGAAATCCTAGAACATACCGATACATGGTAAATGGTAAATGGCCTGTATTTGTATAGCGCTTTACATACCTACAATATGTAAAGTTCCTGATGTGTGATGAATCATTTATGTTATCTGAAATGAGGTGACATCTAGGAAGACATCAAATCTGTTGGTGAAATTATCATTTTTCATCTTGCCAATCTCATGACTTTCCATTTAGCTGCAAGCCCTTGAAGTCATATGATGTACAAAACAAGGTTTGTGACCATGGGACAGTGTAGCCATGTGAAACGATAGTCTATGACAAATTTTTACCTTACCTTAGTGACCCCACTGGATAACTTTTATCATGTTTATCACTTTTATCAAGCTTTTGATTTGGTACAAGACTAGAATCAGAAATTTTGCTGCCATTAAAGACAGAATCCAAACGTTTTTTCTTTTAGTGCTGTGAGACTCAAGCTGGGAAACATACCTGCAATGAGCAAGCCATAATTTTAAATAATTAGGTCTGAGCCTTGTAACACACGGCACTAGTGACAAAGTCTCATATAGTGTATAGAATTGTGCAGACAATACAAACTGTGGAAACAACACATCATAATAAAAAAAGAAATGGCTAGACAATAACACTAGGGAGATTTGACTCAGTTTCATAAACTATGCAAACATCAGAGGCAATAATAAGATTAAAAGAATCACAGAAGCAGTGAGGACTCATTTTCAGTGAGGAGGTGACCACAGATCGCTGTATGCTGGTATCAGACTTTTATATAAGCTTGTGTCATCACATAGTTTACACCTAACACATGACACATAAATGACTAGTTTACTGATAGAAATACCTTATCAAGATGGGAAATGCTTCCCAGACTTCAAACAATGGAAAACCACAACTTAGCACATAGGCTGAAATTGAGCATTCAACAGTTGGATGAAATACAATTACATAGTGAGACAGCTCAAAAGCAATATTTATATATTACAATATATAGGGAGGGTTATGAAGAATATACCAGTTGGATCCTTCACATCCCAGGAAAAGAAGAACATATTTGTGAGCCACACTTGGGACATGCCTTCATTGCCTTCCTAACAAAAATGTGGCATTCGAGGGACGTAGCCGCTAAAATAGGGAACAGCTATGATGTGACAAGTGACAAGTAGATCTAAGTGTGAAATAGCCCACTCATTGGCTAATGGCTTGTGATTGACAAGTTAGTAACCAATGAGTATATCCTGGATAATTCACTTTTCTGAGTCTTAAAACAACCAACATTTTCTTTTTTACTGAAGTCATAGAGCAGGAGCAAGGGTGGGGGGGGGGAGTTCCCCCAAAGGCTTCCATAGAGCTATATTTGCAACTTGAGAAATTAGCCCCTAGTGGTCATTAAAAACAATGCAGGTTTAAAGCACTTCCATGTTAGCTTCACTTTTCACGCATCCATCTTTTATGTTGTCAATGGTCCAGATAGATTGTGGTGTAACTTAAAAACCAAAGGAGTTGACATCGATGGTGGCACTACAGTCACTTGTGTGCATAGCTGCCTGTTTTCCACGACAGCGCCACAAGTGTCTGCACCTAGCTAATGTGATCTTAAAAATGTAATCCTCTAACACCAATAAATGACAGCCTCCCAAAATAACACAGACTAAAAAACAAATGATAATAACAAAAAGAAAAACAATTTATTCATCTCAAGAAAGTGTTTTAGTAAGATAACTTTAGAAAGAAAGCTTCGTTAGCAGCTAGCTACTATGTTGGGGAGCCTTTTTATAATAGCTAATAGTGATGGATCATGAGTAAGACAAGCTACTACATCACTACATATGTCATATTCTGGTTTTCAGAGACATTCCCATAGTCACTGTTAGATGTAATACAAATTGCCACTAGGTGTGAATGTGCGAGTGAGTGTGAATGGTTGTCTGTCCTTGTGTGTTGGCCCTGCGACAGACTGGCGACCTGTCCAGGGTGTACCCTGCCTCTCGCCCTATGACAGCTGGGATAGGCTCCAGCGCCCCCCACGACCCTGAAAAGGATAAGCGGAAGCGGATGGATAGTAATTAGTAACCGTATGTCACTTGATATGATATCAAGTGACATACAGATAAAATGTTAGAATTCCACTTCCCAAAACTGGATTACAGACCTCTTGTTCAGTTAATGACACTGTGAGCATTCACCTGTCATTCAAAGTAGCAAACTTGCAATTGTAATAATGCAAATTTACTAAATAAAAATGTAGATAGGTAAGTTCTAAAGCAATTCCACATGAAAGGGGAAACTAACCATACAGTCCATATCTTTTTACATTGTGGTTATTTTGTACTGAAGATTGGCATTTTAAAATGGGAGCCATGGCAACCTTAATTAAACATTTTTTATGCTTTTTTACCACGAGTCCCCTAGGGTCCATTCAGGTCCAAATGACATAAATTTTAGCATCTGTCAGTTTACACCAAGGCACACACAGTGCACTAACTGCACAAGAGCTTTAGGCAACATAACATAACATGAATGATTACTCCTTTATTGGATCTCTGGCAATCCAGACCAGTAAGGGGATTCATTTATTTTGGGAGTGGCCATTCCAGGAACTGAGGCTTTCTGCTTAACTTCCACCCCCAGAATCTGCTGCTTGCACTGATCCATTTGTTGCCTCCACACTCAGGCATACGGCGTAATGTATATTCATACACTACGCCGTATGTATATATTTAGATTATATATATTATATATATATATATAGATATATAGATAGATATAGATATAGATATGAATATAGATAGATAATAGATAGATAGATAGATAGATAGATATAGATAGATAGATAGATAAAGATAGATAGATAGATAGATAGATAGATAGTATATAGATATATATATATAAATATAGATATAATATATATAAGATATAGATGTAACACTAGAGGCCAACTCCAAGCCCATAGCACAAGTCACCATCAAGTGCGGGATCTACCAAGGAGATGCTCTGTCCCCACTGCTGTTCTGCATAGGCCTGAACCCCCTCAGTGAGATCATTAAAAGAGGAAGGTAGCCGAACTGAGGGGATTGAACTACCAGAAGGCAACATTGCAGACATAGAGGACAGTTACAAGTACCTGGGGATCCCGCAGGCAATGGGAACCATGAAGAGGCCGCTAGAAAAGCTGCAACCACCAAGTACCTGCAGAGGGTCAGGCAAGTCCTGAGGAGTCAGCTGAATGGTAAGAACAAGATCCGGGCCATCAACACGTACGCCCTGCCCGTGATCAGGTACCCTGCTGGGGTAATAGGCTGGCCAAAGGAGGAGATAGAAGCCACTGACATAAAGACAAGAAAGCTCCTTACCATGCATGGAGGGTTTCACCCCAAGTCCAGCACCCTGAGGCTGTACGCTAAGCGGAAGGAAGGGGGCCGGGGACTGGTGAGTGTCAGCACCACAGTCCAGGATGAGACAACGAACATCCAAGAATACATTGGGAAGATGGCCCCAACTGACCGAGTGCTCAGTGAATACCTCAGGCAGCAGAAACCCAAGAAAGAGGAGGGAGACGAGGAACCATCATGGAAGGACAGGCCCCTGCACGGTATGTACCACCGGCAGATAGAGGAGGTGGCTGATATCCAGAAATCCTACCAGTGGCTGGACAAAGCTGGACTGAAAGACAGCACAGAGGCACTAATCATGGCAGCACAAGAACAAGCTCTGAGTACAAGATCCATAGAGGCTGGGGTCTATCACACCAGGCAAGACCCCAGGTGCAGGCTGTGTAAAGATGCCCCAGAGACAATCCAGCACATAACAGCAGGGTGCAAGATGCTAGCAGGCAAGGCATACATGGAACGCCATAACCAAGTGGCCGGCATAGTGTACAGGAACATCTGTGCCGAGTATAACCTGGAAGTCCCGAGGTCAAAATGGGAGATGCCCCCAAGGGTGGTGGAGAATGACCGAGCTAAGATCCTGTGGGACTTCCAGATACAGACGGACAAAATGGTGGTGGCTAACCAACCGGACATAGTGGTGGTAGACAAACAGAAGAAGACGGCCGTAGTGATCGATGTAGCGGTTCCGAATGACAGCAATATCAGGAAGAAGGAACACGAGAAGCTGGAGAAATACCAAGGGCTCAGAGAAGAGCTCGAGAGGATGTGGAGGGTGAAGGTAACGGTGGTCCCCGTGGTAATCGGAGCACTAGGTGCGGTGACTCCCAAGCTAGGCGAGTGGCTCCAGCAGATCCCGGGAATAACATCGGAGATCTCTGTCCAGAAGAGCGCAGTCCTGGGAACAGCTAAGATACTGCGCAGGACCCTCAAGCTCCCAGGCCTCTGGTAGAGGACCCGAGCTTGAAGGATAAACCGCCCGCAGGGGCGTGCTGGGTGTTTTTTTTTTTATATATATATATATATATATATAATTATATATATAATATATATAAATATACAGTAGATGATAGATAGAAGATAGATAGATAGATAGATAATAGATAGATAGAAAGATAGATAGATAGATAGAAATACATATATCAGTCTTTTGTATGTCTCTCTTTTTTGGGGCTAATGCTCATTCGTGCCTATCTTTGCATGTTTATAAGGATAAACAATAGGGTGTTGAATATAGTTACTGAATGGTCAATGTGATGGATTCAAAAAAGTCTTGCATTTAAATTTTTAAAGTATCAAGTACAACTCATCACAAACAGAACCTATAATCAAACCTAAATTTTAATGATTATTATTCTTTATATTTCAGAGCATGTAAAGAGGGAGAAATGAACTTTTACTCCTGACATTTTAGGCCACTTGCTTGGTTTTGTTTGTGTTTTTAGTGTGCACAAAAAACTTCATATATTCATACATCTCGCTTAGTTTAGTAGGGATTTAGCAGGGATCTACAATTATTTTTAAAAGTTTTTCCAAGGGTAACTTATAGCAAAAGCTATCAATTTTTTCAAATGTCTCTGATCCATAATTCAGGGGGTACATCAATCACAGTGAGAGGAGGCTGCTTTGGAGAAATGGTAAAAAATAATTAAAGTAAGAAGAATAGGCAGGAAATCGTAGGAGGCCAATGATGCAGGCAATAATTTTGGGATGGAAACTAGATGAATCATTCAGCCAAGTTTTTTTTCTCTTATGGAAAAAAATGTCATTGTGGCAGCCAATTACTCTGCATATCACCTCAGCGTGGCATCTGTATCCTGGTTGCCATAGGAATATGGTTGCTATGAGATCAATTTATCTGGAGATCTGGCGGTTGCAAATGTCACTGGGTGCTGCTTTTAATAACAATGCCCTGGTCAAATTACATACATTTAAGGTTTACAGTCGATACTTACTTTGACAGAAAAGAGTTTAACAAAGACTGAAAGCATCGATAAAGTAGTCGGGACATTTTGGGTACTTCACTCTCCTCCGGTAACTGCGTAAAACTGTGACCCGAATGCACACTCTCGGGTGTTCAATATATCAGATGAATGCCACAGATGCCAAACCTACTCTAGTTTCATTCAGTAATTAATATCCATAAGTGTCATATGAAAATTGCTTTATTGCTCATATGTCTTCATTTATGTCAGCCTGTATTTATCACAAGTGATAAGAGGGAGTGACTGTAAGACTATACAATGTCATTCTCATTCTCATTCTTTATTTATTTGTCACATGTAGTTATAGCTAGTACATACAGTGAAATGTTTTTCCTGGCTAAAAAATACTAAAAAATACTCCCCCCGACTGTGAG